ACACAGAGAACCAGATAGATCGTATTTGTATCAATAAAAAATTCAGAAGGACGATGGAAGATGCGAGAACCAGAAGAGGAGCTGATATGGCTTCAGATCACCAACTGGTTGTTTGGGCCAATATCAAACTGAAGCCAAAGAAACTAGACAACTGGTGGAACGGCATTACAAAGGTTCGACACAACCTTCCTTCGAGATACTAACAAACTCAACGAATTCAAGATAACTCTCAAAAACAGGTTCCAGGAAAATTTGGGAGGAAGAACAAGTGCCACCGACAAACTGGAAAGAAGGATACCTCGTCAAGATACCAAAGAAAGTAGATCTGAGCAAATGTGAGAAATATAGAGACATCACATTACTATCAGTACCAGGAAAAGTTTTCAACAGAGTTTTTCTGAACCGAATGAAAGACTCAATAGATGCCGAACTTTGAGATCAACATGCTGCTTTCCGTAAGGATCGGTCGTGCACAGATTAAATCGCGAGACTACGGATCATCGTCGAACAACCAGTTGAGTGGAAGTCGTCACTATACATTAACTCCCTTGACTATGAAAAGGCATTTGACAGTATGGACAAGAGATCATTATGGAAACTTCCTCGACACTATGGAGTCCCCGAGAAGATTGTCAACAATATCTGAAACTCATACGGCGGACAACCGTGCAAAGTCGTGCATGGAGGACAGCTGACAGATGCATTCTAAGTAAAGACCGGAGTCAGACAAGGCTGTCTACTCTCCCCCTTTCTATTTCTTTTGGTGGTTGACTGGATTATGAAGACCTCGACATCTGCGAGAAAACACGGAATACAATGGACAGCTCAGAACCAATTAGACAATTTGGACTTTACAGATGAAATAAGTAAGTAGGTTAGTACACGATTAGAAAGCATTTCTTAGTTTCATGATTCACAAACTGATGAGAAAAACTCAGTTTAATGATATCCCAGTAACATCAATGAACAACCGGGCTTGTGTATCCATGATTAACTAAACATCTGCAAACGTACATAAAGAAGTTTATGTATTTCGCCAGTGAAATTAGTTAATACTTCATGTAAATAATGTCAAAATTAGTAAAAAGGAACAAAACCCATATTTGTATCTAAACTCTATACACCTTGAGGACAAATAATCATCGGTTCTTTCCCCTATAGTGTCTTGGACGTATACAGTTGAGGATTACCACCACACTAGGATGAATCAGCTGGCCAATGAAGTAACACATTAAAGCCTAAAGTTCTAATTTTAATTTAGTTTGCTTGCTTATGTAGATTTATTTAGCTTTGTTTCATTAACTTAGTATTTTTGGTGCTATAACTTTATTGGTTTTATTATCTAGTCACGAAATTCGTTTTCTTATGATGGCCATTTTATTTCATACAACATACCACATATATGGTTATGTATTCGGATTCGAGGTACACTTTTTGTATAAGAGGTAATCACACGATTTTACTGCCCAGTGTGAAGTAAGTGGAGAGTGTTTTATGCCTAGGACCTAATGATTAAAAACTGAGTACTATGACCGCTAAGACCAATTTAATTGATTATCTATTGATTACATACTAGCAACATAATGCACTACATGTAAAAATACCGATTGAAAGGTACCGAATAATCGAAAATTTGTTGACTAATTGTTTACTTTTAAAAAAGAACCAATTTTGTCATAAAGATATTGATCATTCTTATCGGTTTACCAAACAAGGTTAGAATAGTTGACTTACAATGAATAAATTGGCTTCAATAGTTGAAATCATAAGTCAATTGAAGCTAGACCATCATGGGAAAACTGGAAGCACTGGACGGCTGTTTCATCCTAGTGTTGGACTCCTCAGTAGTGAGCATCCACGATCCCATGCTCTGATGAGGAATTGCACAATAAGACGGAACAGCCGTTCTGTGCTTCCAGGTTTTCCATGTTGGTGTAGCTTCAATTGACTCATGATCTCAACCATAGAGATTACTATAATATCCACAAAAACCCTTCTGATATAAAATAAATTGATAACATTAAAAATAATTCACTCAAATTTATTTTTCCTCAGGAAACTGTTCAGTGTTATGAACGTGGCAAACTTTTAGCCGATATTAGAATGATTTACAAAAATTTTATTGAATCTCTACCAATCAAATTCTCGAGGTAAGTAGTGAAATACTGATTCAATTTAAAATGGAATCCTAATAATTGAATTCATGAGTCAATTGGAGCTACACCACCATGGAAAACCGGGAAGCTCTGGACGGTCATTTCGTCCTAGTATGAGAACTCCACAGCAGCACGCACCTACGACCTCACCTAGCGAGATTCGAACTCAGGACCTATCAGTCTTGCACGCGAAAGCTTAACCAATAGACCATTGACTCAGCATCCAATAGTGTTAATGTCTAACTTAAATCAATCCACGAAATTTAGCGACACATCCACCATTGTCTTCAGTTAGTTACTATCTCACAACATACCTGGTTGAACTCTATTGGTCATGGCTTCTCACTAGAACTCCAGGAAATACCTATAGGTCCTGGATTCGGATATTGCGAGGCGAGATCGTGGATGCGCACCGCTGAGGAGTCCCACAGCAGGACGAAATGGCCATCCTGTGCTTCCAGGTTTTCTAGGTGGTCTAGTTTAAATTGACTCATGATTTCAACTATTAAAAATTACTATTACTACTATCAATACTGCTCTGATTAAAATGGAATTATCTTTTTGTAGTTTATTCACTGAATTATTCTGTCAAGAAATACTATGTCAAAAAACTTTACAACTGAATGAACAACATGTCAATGAAACTATGAATATTTTTCAGTAAGTTAAGTATAGCAAAATTATTATTCTAAAATAAAAGTAAGATTAAAGCGATGTGTGAAACGAACAAAACATATAAAATGGAAGAAAAAGGCATTGCAATTAAGGTACGAACTTTTTTATTTATTTAAATACATAAACATTGGTACAAGGAGGCACCAAATACATATGCGCCACATAAATTATTCGATTTATATGAGGGCCGGGACACTACCTGGGTGCCCAAACCGAAACAGGTGGTTCCCACAAGGGGCCATACACCGAGTGTTTGACCTAAACGTCAAATCCACAAGGCAGTGGAGCAACGTCAGGAGATGCAGTCACATGGTAACCGGTGACCAACAACTAGTTCATACGCCATTTGTTCCCTCAAGATTCTTAAGGCTATGTACACTATTGGTTTGGAATGGGAATTCTCCAACTCCCCTAGGTGAATCCTCCATATCCACCAACCCAGTTAAAGCGCCAGACATGCGGTTTTTGTCCCCTAATTTTCGTATACAACACCCGTGGTATGAGTAGGCAGTGAGTAGAACTTTCCTATCAATGGTTGTGTGCACATGGTCATGGGAGCGCATTTGGAGAGGGAGAGCTGACTCTCCCCACTCTCGACCGTATCAGGGCATTCGGGGGCTATGAATTACTTTTTGTAGTAGCTAAACTATATCAGTAAATTCTCTTTTTTAAACTAGCTTAAGGCTAAATTAAGTGAAGCATCAATGAGAGAATATTTACTAAGTGAATTTAAACATTATTATACAAATCAACGAAAAAATTCTAAAGACAGGTTGGAAAATATGAAAAACAACTACAAATTATGGAACAATTCGTTGAAAGTACTTAATTATCATGTAAGTTATTGTGTTTGTGTTAATCTTAATGTTTTTAGTTCATCGAACCTTATTATTGCTTAGTGTAATAACCTTTAATAAGCTTATGATGACCTAGGAATGTCAATTGGGTTTGTCTATTGTCTAAATATTGACAATCAATGAATTCCCAAAATTGTTTACATATCAGTTAGTGAGTACTGAGCTTCCAGGTTTTCAATGGTGGTCTAGCTCAGATCGATTCATGAATTCAACTATTAAAGTTGCTACAATCTCTACAAACCCCACTCTGACCATAATCATCATGTGCTCATTAGTGACTGGCTTCAAGATTATTTCCTGAAGATCTGGTGAGAAACCGTGACCAGTACAGTCCATTCTGTGTCGAATAGAGATAGGTGCCGATCTTAAACAATGGACGAATGGTTACGCAACCACTCATGTATCAATTGAAGTTAGACATTAATATCACTGGATACCGGCTCAATGGTCTAGAGATCGAGAGCTCTCGCGCGAGACCGAAGATCATGGGTTCGAGTCCTGCATGTAGGATTGTGAACACGCACAGATAAGGAGTCCCATCGTAGGACGAAACGGTCGTCGAGTGCTACCATGTTTTCAACTGTGGTTTAGCTTATATGGACTCATGAATTCAACTATTCAAATTACTACAATCTCCACAAACTTTATTCTGATCTAAATCTCTTTTTGGCAATAGGTTTCACCTACTACCCTATAATAGCCTGTTTTCAGACACTACTAAATTAAGAATCTCTAATACTGACAGTTTTTTCGGATAAAATAATCGATTTCTTTGTCTCTATTGATTATTAATCATAAAAAATTTGGTCTACTATTTATTATTTATTTATTTAAACACATAAACATTGGTACAAGGAGGCACCAAATAGATTTGCGCCACATAAATTATTCGATTTATATGAGGGCCGGGACACTACCCGGGTGCTCAAACCAAAGCAGGTGGTTTTCTTAGGAGGCCACATCCTGAGCCTTTGACCTAAACGTCAAATCCACAAGGCAGTGGAGCAACGTCAGGAGATGCAGTCACATGGTAGTCGGTGACCAACAATTGGTTCATACACCATTTGTTTCTTCAGGATCCTGGAGCAAGTCCATGTACACCATTGGTTTGGAATGAGGGTTTTCAAACTCTCCTAGATGGACTTTCTGTCTCCACCAATACGGTTAACTCGCCAGACATTCGCTTTTCATTCTCTTAATTTCGTAGACAACACCGTCGCAACGATGTGGCAGTGAGTGGGACTCTTGGCCGTAGCAGGGCGTTTGGGGGCTTGTTCTACTAACGTTTTATGGAATCTGCAATGAAAATATATGATCAATGTTTTATTTATGCACGGTAATAACCTAATTGACTTCTGTGTATTTCACATCTGTTATCCAAACAACTTCTATAACTACTCGAGGAAATAATAAAAATGACTTCAATGACAACGATTGCATAATTACAAAAATATGAAGTTTTTTTTTCTCATTCGTTAATTTTAAAATGAATCTTGTAACTTACTATCAATTATAGGTTTACAGTCAAATATCGAATGTTCCAAAGTCAAATATATCAAATTTAGCTGTTATATGTTTTAAATTACAACAGACTGTTGAAATATGGGGGTTTATTGGTGCTTGGTTAATAGAATTATTAAAACTATATGATACAACAATTTTGAATCGAATTGACAAGATCATATGGAATGATTGGTATATACATTTTGAATCTGTAGAAAAAGATCTTTATATTCATGATCAAGAATGTAAACTACATTTACAAAAACTAGATTCTATGTTAAAGAGTCTAGATACATACTTTAAACATGACAGGTTAAATATTACATAATATTTTGACTATTTTATTTTTGTTATTATTAAGTCATTAAACAGATTTTTACAATCTTTCCAAGAGCAAACAATTGAAGAAATATTGAGAATGGTGAACTGACATCAATTTGGGATGTATTTTAGAAGTGAATTTAGTGGTGTATACATTAGGTCAAGTTATTTTGGATTCATTAAAGTGTAAATCAGCATAAACATTTCCCATAAAGTCACTGGTTACCTGCCTAAAACCAGTTCCATCTACTAACCAAAGGACGGGTTTACTGTGTAGCAGTTCGTTCCGTCCTACTTTATGGCAGTGAAACATGACCGGTAAGAGTAGAGGATATTCGTAGGTTACTAGTATTTGATCATAGGTGTCTTCGAAGCATTGTTCGTATATCCTGGGACCATCGAGTAAGTAATTCAGTTGTTAGGAAACAGGTACTAATTAAGAATGGCAAATCAATTGATGAAGTAGTGAAACTTCATCAGTTGAGATGACTGAGACGCGTGTTACGTACGCGCAACCACCGACTGGTGTAGCAGTAGGTTGGAATGAAGTTAGGGGTGGCCAGACCAAAACGTGGCACAAATCCATGAAGTCACTGACAAATGGACTGAGCTATGTTGGTAGGTGTAGACTACGTGGTAAGGGACCGCGAGATGATAGCAACTGGTGGTTAGAGACCTTGAATGACATGGTTCAAAATCGTTTGCAATGGCGCAGGTGCATCCACTCTTTGTGTTATTCCAAACTCTAATCTTCTGAATTCTTCATATTCTTAAGTTTTTCTCTTTCCAAATTTATTTCATTGGACTTTACTCCTTGAATAACATTTTCAAACCCTAATCTTTCCGATTACTGCTTATACTTTTACTGCCTCTACCGCTATGGGATTTGAATCGACAATTGTATCTGTGTGTTGGTGTGGTATGGTAACTCGAACTGATGTACGTACATAAGAAGGTCTACATTGTTGCTGACTGACTGACTGAGTGGTTTTGATGTTGGATACATACGATAAAAGTAATCTCTGATCTAAAATTGTAGGCCGCGAAAATCATTATCTATCACAGCTGATTTTTTTGACCAACATCAATTAGTCACAGAATCTATTCACAAACAACAAATTTCGACGAAATAATTAGCCAGTACGGTATGCAATAATAAGTAAGTCATTTTTAGTTCTTAGTGCTAAGGATACTAGAATCTCGCGAGGCGGGATCGTGACCTACGCACTGCTGAGGAGTACCACAGTAGGATGAAACGGCCGTCCAGTGCTTCCATTGTGGTCTAGTTCCAATTGACTCATGATCTCAACTATTAAAATCAATATGGTTCCCTTGTTCCACGTTTATTTACAATTTTATACAAACAGTCAACTTTTATGTATTTCTCTTTCTTAGACTGATGAATACACAGAACTGTTTACATGATCTATTAGACTTACTGTCAAATTTATTAGAAGTAAGAAGTTAATCTTTCATTGATTTCCTAGTTTTTAAGTAAAATTTTTGTTCTTTCTGTTCAAATGATTTCATATTATTTATTATATTTCTGCAGCAATATAGAAGACTCTCCCAGTCTCCCACATTGTACCAAGTTTCCATGTACTTAAATTAATGGTTGCTCTGGTTATCAGAACAGGCATCAGCCGAAGGAAATCGGCTTTCAACATGAGGCATCATAACTCTTTTACATGAAGACCTTTTAACTCTCAGGGCATAGTTTAAATGATTTGAATTATTTTTTCTGGTTAAGGTTTTTTTAGCGAGTTAGTTTTCTATAAGAAACATAAGTCACTTTGGATAATTCTATCATATATTCGTTAGTATTGCTACTTCAAATTATGGAACTATCATAAGTTTCCTATACAATTAGAAACATCATCTATTAGTAGTTGAAAAGAATAATTAAGTAGTATACTTTACAAATTTTTTTCTATTTGTCTTTGTCAAGGTCAGCAATGAGTGTCTAGATTTATTCAATGGAGAGCGTGTATTAAATATTGAAGAAAAACTTGTAACAATTGACCATATCCAAAATTACTGGTTTGAAATGTTTTATCAGTCGTCTCATTGTGATGAATTAATGCTTGAAGATTCTACAAATTATGAAAAAGAAATAACTATACAATTACAAAAAGTAATGTGTGTAGGAATTTTAATTTAATAATTGAATTCATGAGTCAATTGAAGCTAGATCACTATAGAAAACCCGGAAGCATTGGATGGCTTTTTAATCCTATTGTAGGACTTCTCAGCAGTGCAAACTCACCATCCTGTCTCGCGAGATTCGAACTCAGGACCTATCGGTCCCGCGCACCAGAGCTTAACCTCTAGACCACTGAGTTGACCAGCATCCAACGATGTTGATAGATAAATTTAAATAATATTGACATCAGTGTATTTAACTACAATCACCATTTATTTATTCGGTCAAACTCAAGGTTAAGGATTATTACAGTTAACAAGATTATAAAAAATAAAGGATATATTTAGTATTTAACTGTTACAAATTAAGCTATTTTTCAACTTGCTTTTACACGTAATTTTTTCTCCAGGTTAGCTGTTTTCTTGTTGGATACGATACGAAATCGTATATATTTGTTTATAATTTACCTGATCTATTGTTTCTGTGTAAAATGTCCTTTAAAGCTACATGAATAATTATCTTGTGCATTTCTACGTTAGGTCTTTAAGTGTTCCTATCATTTTGAGATGATGGAGAAGATTTGTAGCTCAGGTGGATGATTTTGATTGAGTTTCATTCTCTGAGCTAGTTGATTTGGTTGTGGAACGCTCGACGATTTTGTGTGTCGTTGTGTAACGTTCCATATTATTCACGACTAAATCATCCAGTTCAGAGAACAAAACTCCATCAAAATATTCCTATCTTTTTAGATTACATAAGCTATTAGTATCTGAGGAGTATGTTTCTACCATAATATTGAGCTTAAAAATATTATCTGTCATTTTAAATTGCAAATGATGATTAGGTAAAATTTGATTTATCTATAGATGTATTGCCTGAATAAGTCCCTCAACTGATGAACACAGTCTCATCAAGGCTATACTCAAAGCAGGTAACCACATATTTAGCCAACAATTACAATGTTTAGAACAAATCAATACAATTAGTACAAAAAAGTAAAACGATACAAAGTGAACAGTAAATACACATCCATTAATCAGTAGCATGGACACAGAAAAATAAGGATCAATATTTAATCATGTTTGTAGAAAAATGTGCAACTTCATGAATGTTAGTCAAATAAATAAAAATCATAAGGGGTTTTGTGGATATTATAGTAATCTCAATGGCTGAGATCATGAGTCATTTGAAACTAGACCACCATGGAAAACCTGGAACCACTGGACGGCCGTTTCGTCTTATTGTTGGACTCGTCTACAGTGCGCATTTACGATTCTGTCCCGCGAGATTTGAACCCAGGACCTATCATTCTCGCTCAACAGCACTTAACCTCTAGACCACTAAGGCGGCCGGCATCCAAAGGTGTTAGTGTCTAACTTCAACTCCAAATAAATAAATAATAGCAACCAGTCTGAGACTAAATGAATCTTAAATGAAAGGCATTTAACTCAAATATAATTGGTTGCTTCACTCTTGTCGATAGTGATTTATAATTCCTCCCAAAAGTCCACCACATCCTCAGTCATCATTAACGAATCGTGTGGATTTTAATTTCTACTTCGATCAACTTCCTTTGATTTTATGCTGTAAATCTCTTTTGTTTAACACGAAATCACTTATTTAGCACCTAGTTACGCCTGTTACTCCTCACGGAGGAGCATAGGCCGCCCGCCAGCACTCTCCATCCAACCCTGTACTGGGTAATCCTTTCCAGCTCTTTCCAGTTGTTATTCATCCTTTTCATATCTGCTTCTATTCTCCAACATAATGTGTTCATTGGCCTTCCTCTTTTCCGCGATTTTTTGCGTTGTTTAGCGAGTTAGTTTTCTACGGGATGGGGTCGCTAACCCCATACCCAACCCTTCTCCTTTACTCGGGTTTGAGACCGGCAGTAACTTTAGAAGAGCTACAGGCGGAGCTACTTATTTAATAGTTTACTATTACTTCAGTTACAATTTTTATGTCTACAAATTATTACTTAGTAGAATTTCATAGTGAATCACTGAATAATAACAAATGAAATTCAGAGTATTTTTATTCATACAACCTTGTCGAAATAAGCTTTACTGGTCGTAAAAAAAGACAACCGATAAAATATAAATCAATCACTCCACCTATAGGTCTTCTACGGTTAATGCCATTCCCAAGCTTGGGTAAACGAAAAGGGTTAGTTATGCGGCTGGAAACTCTAGCCGTAGAAAACAACCTTGTTCCGAGAATGCCAACAAGAAAAAAACATTTTAACTTTGGCTTGGGATTTGAAGGAACTTCATTCAGAAGAATTATGACGCCTCATGATGAAAGCCGAGATTCGTCAGAAATCACGAAACCGATTCCCTTTCTGACAACCAGAACAACAATTAACCTTGGTATGTGGAATATCCGGATATTGTGGAAGACTGGGAGGACCAGCCAAATGGCTACAAGAATGAGGAGGTACAACTTAACAATATTCGAAATCAGAGAATCCCATTGAACCCAAGCTAGACAGAAAAGGCTAAATCCTGGAGAGATGCTGTTGTACTCTGGTCACGAAGAAGAAAATGCTCCTCACACATAGGAAGTTGTTCGATGTTGTCCAAATAAGCACGAAAAGCACTTATGGAATGAGATGTCACGGAGCCAGGATCATCAAGGCATCCTTAAAAACAAAGAAAGAGGGAATCACAGCGAATGATATCCAGTGTTATGCACCCACCAATGATAGTAATGAGGACGATAAAGATCAGTTTTATGAGACGCTTCAGTCGATCCTAGAGAAGTGTCCATAAAAGGAAGGACAATAAGATAGTAAATAGCAACAGTTAAATAAGGGCAGAGAAAGTCAAGGCGCAAGCTGGATACACAGAAGCAAACAAGAGAGTGATGAGGAGCATAACAGTTGACAAGCACACTTATTGAAGAAGCTGTGGAAGAGGCGAAAACTTTCACGTACCTGGGAAGCATTATTGATAAACAAAGAGGATCTGATACAGTTGCCAAGGCACGGATTGTCAAAGTAAGAACAGCATTCCCACAACTGAAAAACATATGAAATTCAAAAAAGCCGACAGACAAAACCAAAGTCACAATCTTCAATGCAAACATCAGGACAGTTCTATTGTACGAAGCTGAAACTTGAAGAACCACCACAAACACCATCAGAAAAACACAGGCATTTATTAACACTAGGTCATATAAAATTCTCCATATCCATTGGCTACATATCATCATCAACCTATGACGGCAGAGAACTAACCAATTTCTGGATGAGGAGAGAATTAGGAAAAGAATCAGGGGGTGGATGAAACATACATTGCAAAAATCATCAAATCACATCATGAGGCAAGCGTTCACTTGGAATCCTGAAGAGAAAAAGAGAAGGGGAGCACTAAATAACACATTGTGTCTGGAGTTGGAGGGAGTCATCAAAAGACCAAATAGCTCTTGGTAGTGAGTGGCATATAGAGCTCAGAACATGGTTGGAGAATCCTGGTGAGTGGCTTCACGATGGGCAACACGCGTAAGTAAATAAGTAAAAAGTCCTTATTTCATTCAACCCAGCATCAGGAACATAAGACTTTGAATCAAATATGTACAACCAATAGATATGATTTTTCAACTATATTTTATGGATATGTAACTTACACCAATAACTTACCGTTGATTGAAACGAGTTAAAAAAATTAATACGTAGGCTACCAATATTTGGTGATAGATACCTTGAGACCGCTATCTGTATATGGTAAAACTATGAAGAGAGTAATGTTGAAGCAACGTGGGAAACGCTAAATCAATCGACGAGGCTAAAAGCCTTCATCGAACGAGTTATTTGAAATATGTGTAACATAATTCCAATAACCAGACACATTGAAGTACTGTGTTAGCTAGCAAAACACTCAGTAAGAACAATGTTAGGGGTAGCCAAACCAAGACGTGATATCAGTTCGTGAATTCAACTACTTTTAGACTGAGACGTGCCTGAAAATAAAAACTGTCTTCTTGGGGTCTGCACAGTAGTTACAATCAATGGTAGAAGACCGTAATTAACGTAACTCAAAATCAATTATAGTAACAGTATTGATCTTGAGTTATAATATTCATACTTTACATTGTTTTTTTTTCAAACCATTTTCTCTATTTTACTAGTTGAGATTATGAGTCAGCTGAAGCCGGCTCAGTTGGTTAAGAGCTTGCGAGCGAGACTGATAGGTCCCGGGTTAGAATCTCGCGAGACAGGAACGTGGATGCGCACTGCTGAGGAATCTCACAGTAGAATGAAACGGCCGTCCAGTGCTTTCAGGTTTTCCTTGGTGGTATAGCTTCAATTGACTCATGATCTCAACCATAGAGATTACTATGATATCCACAAAACCCCTTCTGATAGTTTCTCTATGTTTAGCTTTTACTGTAATCAATGCTTATATTGTTTTAGTTTCTTTGATTTTAATCTTATAGCATAATTGATAAGTGAATAACTTGAACTGTAGTATATTTGTAGCAGCTTGTGCGTTTGTCACTGATCAAGTTGAAAGTTACTTACTGTTGTTTATTGTTCACCATTCATTTTTTTGTTATAATCTAAATATTCCATGTCATAACTTCTAGAATCGTTTTCTAGTGGTCATTATTTTGAAATATCACAGTGTATATATGTATCCACTTTTATGTCCATAATTCACACATACACAGTAACGAAATGTATGAAAATGAGAAACATACACTACCACTAGTCAGCATCTATCCTCCCTCAATCCTTGAAACTGGAATCGTTTATCAGCGAAGATTATAAATTAACACTTTTATTTCGTTCAGTTTAATTCACAGCAAGAGTGCAAGTATACCACATTGAATCTCTACCATTCCTTATTCATAAAACTACACTTTATTGTAATGTATAATACAATATGTCTTAAAGTAGATGAGAAATCTTGTATCCATTATTTCGAATGACTAAAAATGTATAGCTATTAGCATATTATAATAATTTCAATAGTTGAGATCATAAGTCAATTGAAATTAGATCGTCATGAAAAACTTGAAAGCACTGGATGACCGTTTCGTCCTATTGTGGGACTCCTCAATGAATTTAGTAATAAGAACATTGTATTCGACATTTTAAATTGATTTTAGTTATGATAGTCAATTTATAACAGTATTATATTCTTTGTATGCAAGTAAGTGGCTATTTATTATTCCTTTTTGAAATTATCCACAAAATGATTTTTCGTTACAGCCAGTCTATATACATTCTATATATACACCTATATACACCCCCGAATTCCCTGGTACGGCCGAGGGTGGAGAACGTCTACTCTCCCTCTCGAAATGTTCTCACATGACCACGTGATACAACCATTGCTCGGGAAGTCCTACTCACTGCCTTCTCCTACCAGGGGTGTTGTTTACGAAATTGAGAGGATGAAAAACAACTGTCCGGCCCTCTAACCAGTTTGGTGTACTAAGAGAGTCCATCTAGGGGAGTTGGAAAATCCTCATTTCAAACCAATCGTGCACATGGGCTGGCTCCAGGATCCTGAAGCAACTAATGGTGTATGAACCAATTATTGATCACAGGCTACCATGGGTCTGCATCTCCTTATGTTGCTCTACTGCCTTATGAATCAGGCCTTTAGATCGAAGGCTCCGTGTGTGGTCCCATATGTGAACCACCTGTTTCGGTTTGGGCGCCCGTGCAGTATTCCAACACTCACACAAATCGAATAATTTATCTGGCGCATATCTGTTTGTTGCCTCCTTGTATCAATGTTTATATGTTTAAATAAAGAAAATTGTATTACCAAGCAACTTTGACTGATGGATTTAGGTTACTTCATACATACACGACTATTTAAAAAGAAAATCAAATTATAAAATACTTCGACACTTAGTTTTCATATTACTTCATTTTCATAATTTTCTTACTATAGGAGTTTACAAATATGATCGCTAGTCGTCGAATTCAATTACATGGTGAGAATGGAATTGTACAACTTTTAACTAAAGTTATTAGAAATATTGAAGATTTAATTCGATTTATTCAATTCAATACTGAAAACTATGTAAATAATAAAAATTCAAAAACCTATTCACCTTTAGGATTAAATAATCAAAGTAAAATTACTACGGACGAATTAGAATTACACTGTAAAAATCTTTGCCAACAATATGATTATTGGATGGAAACTATTAATAATATACTTCATTGTAAATGGCAAATATATGACAATGAATTACCATCGAAACAAATTAGTAGACCTCATTCAATCGATGAAACATGTACAGTTGCATTTGATGAGTAAGTTGATGAACGATGACATTTTCTTTCTTTCTTTTTTGTACGTGTTTTTTAAACTTAAGTTTATACTGAGATGTTATTTTTTGACTGAACTATTATAAAATCAATAGATGGTTTACTGTGTTTTAACTGACGTTTTAGAATTTTTAGTAAGTTATTCATTTTACATCACTAATTCAGTCAGCTACAATGTAGGACCAGACATATGTATGCATTGGTCCAAGCTGCTATACCTCATTAGCATAAAAAGATGAACACCGAATTCATAGAAGACTGTGGGTGATCGCAATCTTCAGTCATTGGTTACGATAGTCACGCGGACCCCAACCGAGTAGTCCGCATCTCCCAACATGGCTCAGACCAGAAGTTAGTAAATTCAAGGGCTGATGCCATGTTTTAGTTTGGCTGCCCCCAACTTTCTTCCAACCATCCCCAAAACACTAATCAGCATTGCACGTCATGGTAATCGGTGTTCAGGGATACGTAACACATGACCCAACCATCTCAGTTGATGAAAATTCACAGCCTCATCAACTGACTTACCATCATTCCCTAATACTCTGTGTCGAACTTCGTTATTACTTACCCTGTGATGCCAGCAGATGCAAGCAATATTTCTAAGACATGTGTGAACAAATGCTAGTAGATTACGAGTATCTTCTACTTCGAATGGCTATGCTTTGTAGCCGTAAAGTAGAACAGAATGAACTGCCGTGCAGTATACTCGTCCTTTTATTGGTAGACGGATATCTCACGTTCATCATAGGTGACATAAGTTGGCAAAAGTCAAACGAGCTTTCTGAACCCGTGCTGAGATTTCGTCGGACACCAGTTTATTCATTTTACATGGAACCTAGCTTATGTTTAACGTTTGAATTATAAAGCGTTTCTAAAATCCTACATTCACTAGTTGGAATTAATGAAAATTCCTACAAAAACCGTTGAAAACCACTATTTGTTACGATAGGTTAATATAAGTAATAAATTATTTAATCAACATATGTTCACTAGCGACGGTCTACAAGAGGTATTTCTTAGAGTTCTAGTGAGAAGCAGTGACCAGTGGAGTTCAACCGGGTCTGTTGTGAGATAGTAATTCACTGAAGACAATGATGATGGGTAGCTCAATTACGTGGATTTGTTGAAGTGAGACATTAACACCGTTGAATGTTGGCCAGCTCAGTGGTCTAGAGGTCAAGCGCTCGCGCGCGAGACCGATACATCCTGAATTCGGATCCCGTGAAACCGGATCGTGAATACGCTCTGCTGAGAAGTTCTACAATAGAAATAAATGGCCGTCCAGTGACTCCAGGTTTTCCATGGTGGTGTAGCTTCAATTGACTCATGATCTCAACTATTGAAGTTACTATAATATCCACAAAAACCCCTTCTGATAATAATTCACAAATTAACTATCAGATTCACTAGAACAACGGTTACATTCAACATAACAACATACCCAAGGTTTATTTAAACCAGAAAACTATCTTAGTTATTCAAAGTGATAAGACAACAATAATAGTCAGTCGCTTAGCAATCAAATGTAATATATGACCGGTTTGAAAATGTTTCTCGTAACAAAGTGAGTTTCAACTAGTAGGAGCATAGCCAATTTGCCGGTCATTAATTTAACTACTGAGGTTAAAGCAAACATGGATGAACATTGGTTATTATTATGTAATGTAGTCATAAAACAGTTTCTTAGGTCCAATGGAAACATAATTGGCATTCTTAAGTAGTAGAAACAACGTTTGATAATTTTAATTTTGATTCAATGGATAAAAAGGTTACATGGAATTACTCTACAATTCATCATTAAAAGTAATTTTGATCATTCAAAATCCCTTACATATCTATCAAATTTTTTTCTAAATACATCGTGACCAGTAATTTATTTCCGAAAAAAAACTAATAAACCTACTAGCATAATTTTTAAGCAAAGATTTATAGTGGTTATCAGTGTGAACCAGTTTGACGTGCGTTTCGTCCTGTTTGGGACACGTCAGCTGGATGTACCTGCATTCCATAGTTGATGTTCGCTCTGAGACTCGAACCCAGTAACGTTCACTTCAAATGCTATCGCGTTATCCAGTTAGTTACTGAGTCCTGCTAACTACTTGCTTGCGCAATGGGGTGAAGTTTTAAATTCACTTGGTATTGTTTGTCTGAGTTTTCTCATTGTTATTTAGGACTGCGATTGATCAGTCTGTTATTGGCATATGTGCATCCTGTGTGTATTGTTTCGATATTGCCTTGATTCATAAGTATTATAAGCAAACATGGATAGTGGCTAGCAGTGGAATCCAGTTTGATGAGCGTTTCGTCCTATTTGGGAATTGTCAGTTGGATGTACCTGTATCTTAGAATTGATGTTCACTCCGAGACTTGAACCCAGTACCGTTCACTTTAAGAACCATCACATTATCCACTATAATCGTTATTATTTATTTCATGAGTTTGATCTTATTTCATAAACTGTTTCAGATTTTGGTGGAGTTTTGTTCTCTGAGCTGGATGGTTTAGTCGTGGAGCTTTCATCGTTCTTCTGAACGACATCATCAGCACAAACTTCAGATAGAAGTTCAGAAGAACGATGAAAGCTCCACGACCAAACCATCCAGCTCAGAGAACAAAACTCCACCATAATCATCCACCTGAGCTACAAATCTTCTCCACTATTTCAGATGGAATCAAATTGATGATAATAAAAGGGGAAGTTTATTTAAATGTCAACAAAATCTAATTAAATGGTTGGAATTAATCAAGAACAGGGTGAATAGTATTAGTGAAATGAGAAATGAACAAATACTATTGGAACAAATTAATATAATACAACAATTGAATAAACAAATTACAAATAGCAATACCAATGATGTTAATGGTCAGCAAAATTCACCTTTTGGAAATAATTCAAGTATACAGAATGATCAATTAAATAAACAAAATCCTAAATTGAAAAAGAATAGTTTCTATGAATTGACAAAATCATTGTTTAAGTAAGTTGATGAGAATAATGAATGGTAACAACTGTTGGAATCTATTTATGATCTAATACGATACATATATTTCTTATTGGATAATTATTATGTAATTGAACTGTGCATATTCGTGTTCCTCTTATCATAAGCTTTATTTTAATCTATGAATTATTATGATACAATTTACTATTCTTGAGTTATACCCCAGTCTATCCATTACAGTCTCGCAAATTCACAGTCACTTTTGGTTAGATCTTATACAAATGTTGTTTCGTATTTGATGGTACGCTGTATTCTGTTTGGTTGGTATATAATCCCGATGTGTTTGAAATAAATTATTGATATCAAAGAGGCTGAGATTGGTGTTCTGGATTCAACAGACAGACAGGGCTAGGTAGGAACAAGGACTGATAAGGACTCTAGACTGTTCGTATGAGTTTTATGCGTCATTGGTCCGATCGATAATTCACTGTTATCTAATTGGCGGTATCATCACGTTATACATTAATAGGATACAGGGCACAAGTTATAACAGTTAACTAATAGACAGTACAGTATACGAATTATGTTAGTTCTGTTCTATGGGGATTTCCAAGAAACTACGGATTGCTCTAAGAGTATTCATATCGAGGAAATGAAACTAAATTCAGTACAACTTTAATGTTGACATTAAACTTTTCAATATAACGATTTAACTTGTACTAGAAACACTAATAAAATCAGGCATGATCTTTAACAACGAACAAAAGTGTAATAAATAACCACTTTATCTAACCTGATTGATTCTACCTATTGAGGAGGGGAGGGGGAGAACGAGTTGCTACTTGATTTTCGGGACTTTCAATTAGAAACTAAAATATATATGCTTATCGATAACATAGAGCTTAATTTTAACTGTAATACAAATGAATAAGTTTTGAAAGCATAGATCGTATAGTTTTAATTGTATAACTGAAAATGATCAAATAATCTAAATGTTTACAATTCTGTAGAAGATGAAAATAACTTTAAAGACCGATTTTAAGAAAAAAGTAAACAAATGTTTAGTCCTCTCTGATTTAAATTGGTCCTATATCTAAAGTTAGAGATACTACCCCTAACTCAGGGTCTGAAAAGTCGGAAAAATGAGAATTTCGTAAATGCGATAAGAATGATCTTGGTGGTCTTTGTAATTGTATTCCGACACGAGACAATTGGTTTTAAGCATTCTTTAAGTCCTAACGCTTCAGGCTGAACTATTTCGTTTACTACCCTACATATGTGTTGTATGCAATATAAGCTATATGGTTATGTAGAGCTGAAGGTCTCATATGAGGTTGGAGGTTCGCCATTGGTATTGTGAATAGTTCGGCATCGCCTTGACAAGTTTTGCTGACTGTTTATGCACAAAATTGGTTTGCTAGATAACCGATTTTTATTCATACTGGTGGTTGCTTTTCAGTGTTCTCGAGGGTCATTGTCATTGGGACATTGTGAGGCATTTCGCCGTTGCTAACATTATTGAGTTTGACTGTCGTGTAAGCGGAATGGGTCAACTTTGGCCCGTTCGTGCTGTGCATAATTGATTCACGTTATCATTGATCGGAATAACTATACATGTGGTGTGAATATGTATATGAATCGTGCGAATGGTCCACCAGGGTGCTTGGTACCTGTGTGGTTGCGCCACAGGTTTAAGCTATACTATTCAGATTGTGGTATTAAAGCCTATATGGTGTCTGCTTCTCCTGCGAAACTGGACTGAGTTGTACTGTTCGGGTTAAGATTGGGCGGTGTCTGGTTCTCCTGAAAACCAATGTGAAATTACTCTGGCCCCCAAGGTTATATTATATATAACTATATCTAAACTTAGTCCATGATGAGAATCAATATCAATATAGATTTGATAATTATTTGTCATGGATAGTGTTTCATTAATATTTCATCATTTATCAACTATTTCTATAATTTTAAGATTAGGTTCACGAGTGATTAAACATTTAGATCAAAAAAATATCTGGATTTCTTATGATCACAAAACAGTGTTATCCAGACTGAATTCTTTCAAAGTAAGTCAGTTCAATTTCAATGTAATGTTGTTTATTTTAACTCACATTCCCTAACTCTTTATAGTTTATCGAATAATTCAGTAAGATATGGTGCAAAATTTTCATCAGTATATGGTTGTGGAGATTACTAAGTTATTGATTGAGATTATAAACCGATTGATGTTAGATCACTACTGTTGAGGAGTCTCGCGATAGGACGAAACGGCCATCCACTGCTTCCAGGTTTTGAATGGTGGTCTAACATCAATCGGTTCAACATCTCAATCAATAGAGAAATTTTTAGTTCGATATTTTATTCTGACATATCAATACTTTATAGTTAAACTGTAAAAAACTTAAAAAACTGTTTACCCTTAGTTCAGTTTATGGTAGTTAGAAAGTTTATATTTTCACCCAATATTCTACATCTGATGATTGAGAACACCCGCGAAAATTGTTGTTGGATGCACTTAACAGTACTATATTATAAATGATTGGTGGTATTGTATTTTCAATCAGTGAAATTGTTTACATTACACTCTGCAATGCAAAATAAAGCAGAACTATCCAGTAATGGCTTTTTTCACTTAAAAAAAGCCACTAATAATAACTTCTCGTTCTCAATAATTCATTTTTATTATTATAGAGGGGTTTTGTGCAGATTGTAGTAATTTAATAATTGAATTCATAAGTCAATTAAAGCTAGATCACTATGGGAAACGTGGAAGCACTGGATGGCCGTTTCATCGTAGTATGGGACTCCTCAGCAGTGTGCATTCACGATCCCGCCTCATGAGATTCGAACTCAGGACCTATCAGGGTCACGTGCGAGCGCTTCATCACTAGGCCACTAAGCTGGACGATATCCAACAGTGTTAATGTATAACATCAACTAATCCACGAAGTTGAGCGACACATCCACCATTGTCTTCAATGAGTTACTATCTCACAACAGACCCGCTTGAACTCCACTGGTCACTGCTCCTCACTAGAACTACAGGTAATACATCTTGAAGCCAGGATCTAATGATCATATGTTGACTAATTAAGGATTGTTCGAAGAAATTCGGTCAGGTTAACAGATTACTTACTTACTTACGCCTGTTACTCCTCGTGAAGGAGCATAGGCCGCTCACCAGCATTCTCCATCCAACCCTGTCCTGGGCAATCCTTTCCAGCTCTTTCCAGTTGTTATTTATCCTTCTCATATCTACTTCTATTATCCGACGTAATGTGTTCTTAGGCCTTCCTCTTTTTCGCTTCCCTTCAGGATTCTAAGTTACGGCTTGTCTCATGATGCAGTTTGATGATTTGCGTAATGTGTGTCCTATCCATTTCCATCGTCTTTTCCTAATTTTTTCTTCAGCTGGAAGCTGATTTGTTCTCTCCCACAAAAGGCTGTTGCTGATGGTATCCGGCCAGTGGATGTTGAGTATCTTGCGAAGACAGCTATTTATAAATACTTGTACCTTCTAGATGGTGGTTGTTGTAGTTCTCCAAGTTTCAGCTTCATACAGTAGAACTGCCTTGACGTTGGTATTGAAGATTCTCACTTTGATATTGGTTGAAAGTTGTTTTGAATTAACAGATATAAACAATTAATTTTCTTTTTGCTATAAAAAAATTTCCTATTCTCATTTAGTTATATGCGGAGAGATGGATTGAATACTTGAATAAAATAGAAAATTTTAACGATACACAAACATTTAAAAATGTGGTATGTTCTGTTATAACAACAAAATCATGTAATTCACTATCTATAATATTCATTTCAGAAGGATTATTTAAATGTTCAGTAAGTAATTGATTCATGTTTTTTACTCATTTTTCTTATTAAAGAACTTCTGAAATATCAGAAAGAGTTTTGTGGATATTATAGTAAGTTAAATAGTTGAGATCATGAATCAATCGAAGCTAGACAACCATGGAAAACTTGGAAGCACTGGACGACCGTTTCGTCCTACTGTGGGACTTCTCCGCAGTGTGAATCCACGATGTGTCGCTCAATTACGTGTATTAGTTGAAGTTAGACATTAACATCGTTGGATGCTGGTCAGCCCAATGGTCTAGAGGTCAAGCGCTCGCACGCGAGACTGATAGGTCCTGAGTTCAAATGTCATGCGGCGGCATCGTGGATACGCACTGCTGATGACTTCAACAATAGGACGAAACAGTTTTTCAAGGTGATCTAACTTCAATTCACTCATGATCTCCACTATTAATATCGATTATTAGTGTTGTATTGGATGTTGGAAATTTCTTAGTATCACATCAACCAGTGGAATCCAAGACGCATGGACGTGCCAACATCTCCGAGTTGATGTCCACTCTGGGACTCGAACCCAGAACCGTTCGCTTAAAACCCCATCACATTATCCACTTAGCTACTGAGTCCTGATAACCACTTGCTTTTGCAATCGAGTGAAGTTTTAAATTCACTTGGTATTGTTTACTAGAATCTTCCCATTGATGTTTTTAGGACTGCAGTTGATCAGTTCTAGCCACTATCTATCTTTGCTTATAATACTTGTGACTTAAAGCAATATCGAGGCAATCTGCACAGGATGAGTATATGCCAACAAGAAACTGATCAATCGCAGTCCTAAATAACAGTGGGAAGATACAAGGAAAACAATACCAAGTGAATATCACAGCAACTGTTTGTGTGTTTTTTTCTTTTCCTTGTTCTTTTTTTGTAATAATTATAGTTCAGGGTCTAGAAAATTTATAGGCGTATACAACCAGAGTATTATACGATATTTACAATCAACCGATGGAACTATAAGAGAACATTTATTAGCTAATACAATTGATGGTCAATCAGTTCAAAATAATGATGATACAGAATTCATGGTTCAATTATCAAATCATTATTTAATGAATACAAAATTGGCATATTTAACTTTATTAAAACAAAATGAATTAACTGAATTACTTAATAAAACTGAAATGACAACAATGGAATTTGATAAAGAAACAACAATTGTAGAACAACAATGGATACATTTGTGTAACACTATTGAATCTTTACAATATCAATTTGATATGAAACAAAATGAATTAAAAAGATTAAAAGATATATTACAGATAAAAATGGAAGTATTAAGTGAATAAGAAGAAGTTATTCTTGAATGATTAAACAGTTGATTACGATTATATGATAATAGTGAACATACTACTTAATATATTTTATGCTACTTATTTCTTTTTTTTTAATTAAACACATAAACATTACAGATTGAAATCATGAGTCAGTTGGATCTAGACCACCATGGAAAACCTGGAAGCACTGGACGACCGTTTCGTCCTAGTATGGGACTCCTCAGCAGTGCGCATCCACGATCCCGCAGTGGAGTTCAACCAGGTCTGTTGTGAGATATCAGCTCACTGGAGACAATGGTGTACGGTGGCGCAACTTCGTGGATTGGTTGAAGTTAGACATTAACACCTTTGGATGCCGGTTCAGTGGTTTAGTGGTTAAGTGCTCACGCGCGAAACCAGTGGGTCCTGGGTTCGAGCCCCGCGGGGTGCGGGATCGCGGATGCGCACTGCTGAGGAGTCCCAAACTAGGACGAAACGGCCGTCCAGTGCTTCCAGGTTTTCCATGGTGGTTTAGCTTCAACTGACTCATGATTTCAATCTGTGAAATTTCTAAAATCTCCACAAACCGCTTCTGACCTAAACATTAGTAGAAGGAGGCATAAAAATAGATATGTGCTATACAAATCATCCGATTTATGTGAGGGCTGTGATACTGCTCAATTGTCCAAGTGTCTTAGGGAGCCACACCCGGAGCATTCGACCTAAAGTCAGTGGAGCAATGTAAGGAGATGCAACCACATGGTAACCGGTGACCAACAACAAGTTCATACGCCATTTGTTTCCTTATGATCCCGTAGCCCATGTACACCATTGGTTTGAAATGAGGGTTTCCCAACTCCCCTAAGTGAACTCTCTGTGTCCACCAAGTCGGTTAAATCGCCGAACATTCGCTTTTCATCCTCTTGATTCCGGAGACATCACCCCTGCCACGACATGGCAGTGAGTAAGACTTCTCTGATAGTGGTTTTATGCACGTGGCTACTTGACAGCATTTGGAGAGTGAGACGTTAACCTTCCCATTTTCGTTCGTACCAGGGTATTTAGGGGCACTTTAAAGGTAATACTGACAAACAGAAGTCAAGAGAATATATCTTGGATACTATCTTAACATTATTACATGTATCTAACTAAGTGTTAATTTCTTCATTATTTTCATAGCTGAAGTAAATTATTATCTCAGTTTTAGATATGTTTTTTTCAGTCTTATTATCCTTGATTTCAAAATAGAATTTCTTGATTATGATGATCAAAAAAAATTAGTGCAATCGAAGTTGAGTGGTATTTCTCACTTTTTTTGGTAAAGGTGCTATCAAATGTCGTTTCCGATGGAGTTTTGTTCTCTGGTTTGGTCGTTGATCTTTCATCGTTCTTCTGAACGACATCATCAGCATAAAATTCAGATAGGAGTGATGTGTTCATTTTTCTCCACATGTGGTACACAGGTTGTCTTTTAGACCTCGATGTTGATTGGTTCTTGTTGACCTTAAACCTGTCATTGTTTACTTCTTTGTTTTGATTGTATCTCCCATCATCTCAATATCGTTTCCTTTTATGTTTAATGAACTATGATCGGTACCGAAGTATGATCAACGATTCAGTTAACATGTAACTCGACAAACAGACATAGTAAAATCTGAGAATCATATAGTAAATACTCAATTTACAAAATATCCATTATTTGTCCAAAACTTGACTATTTCTTTTGCAAATATCAATCCATAGTCTCAGATTTCATTGTTCCTACATTTTCATACAAATTGATTTCCATTTTCGTTCTTTCCTTTTCGATTTTCCATTGAAATACATTCTATTCCTGACTATCATTATATACTACTACTTATATGGATATAAGTAGCTCACATCATACTATGATCAGTACAAAGATAAAATCAATTATTCAATCAACAGGTTAGTTATAAAGGAAGAATTAATAATTAAAGTTATATTTTTCTAGAACATGGTTTGTTAATTTCAATTTAAAAAGAGAAAAAAAAAGCAAACTAATCGTTTTGTTTTAATGAATAACAAACAATTGATGATTAAACATGCATAAAGAAACAGATAAACTGTTAATGGGTAATTAGAATGTACCTTTATTTGTGTAAATATTAGTTAAGGTGTCTTGTTTAAAAAATATTTGTACTCAATTTCAATTGTATTAATGTTTTGATTCATCATCATCATCATCATTATGTAAATATAATTCAGTGGATGAAATTAATGAAGATGAAAACAATGGTGAAGCACTATTTCTAACTAATGATGTACCTTGTGCTTTAATTCCAACAATATTATCAGCCATACATACATATTCACCTTCATATTCTAAGATGAAATTTGTTATTTGTAAATAAGATATAGTGTGTGTTTCTTCAGTTCCTCCACGAACACTAACAGTAAAATCTTTGTAATTACCTTCAAATATAAAAAAAATGAAATAATAATACATTGTTAATTAAAATTATTCAAGATAGGTAGTTTTAAACGAAATACTTATGTGAAAAGAACCAATGAAGTTAGTAAAATAATTTTTAAGCAAAGATGGATAGTGGCTAGCGACGGAATTCAGTTAGACACGCGTTCCGTCCGATTTGGGACTCGTCAGCTAGATTTAACTGGATGTCAGATTTGATATTCATCCTGGGAATTGAACATAGTACCATTCGCATCAAACGCCATCACATTATCCACTCGGCTACTGAGTCTTTATAAAGCTTGTGACTTAAGATAATATCGAGGCACTCCGCACAGGATGTATATATGCCAATAACAGTCCTAAATAACAATGGAGAGATAAAAGTAAATAACACCAATTGAATTTAATTATTTATGTTTTTTTCTATTGGTATTTTACATTCTGTAATCCGGGTACTCAAGAAACCAACAGGTTATTGAGTTTTTATTCGTACGACCATTTCCATGAGCAAGGCATTTGTTCTCCTTGTTAGTATTAATTCTTCAGAAACTTTAAGAAAAAAATAATAGACTAATAACTCCTTTCATGAATAATAAAAGATTATGTCAGACTGTTTAAGATGGTCTTAGTTGCATTCAGTAAGAACAAAACTAAAATAATTCTTGATGGTATGTCAATTTCCTGCAATTTTTGCATATCTAATGAAGTTTTTTGACTAGCTTCTGTATTATTTGTACTCATACTGACATGATCAAGAGAATGACATCCTCATTATTATAGATTCAATCGTCGAACTGTTTATTCTTATAACATTCATTACCCGTAACATACTGCATTAACTTGTTGGATTTAACTAGATAACGAAAAGTATCTTCAGCTAACCGTGTTTATGTGTGTATGAAAATGGTTGTTATAATTCTCTCTTTTATCACGACCCAGCTATTCCTATCGCTTAGTAGTCTTGGACACCAATTCACATGACAAGCCCTCAAATCAGAACACGGTTGAACAGGAAAGAAACTATATTCTAAATAAAAAGGGTAGATGGAAGTAAGAAGCACAATAAAAGAAGCGTTAGTACGTTTATAGCGTTTACATGAGATTCCAGAGTGTTCTCCAAGTATCGACCAGCGCTGATTGGATAAGAAACAGCCAATTATCGTGCACCAACACAATCGTGCACAGAACATGCTTTAATCCAATCCACCACACTCGTCACCCTTTCAGAGCAGTGGTTCTGCTGGCCGTTCCACTTCCTTCTCTTCTGCAGTCTGTGCCACGCTGCCCGTCAAAATGTCGAGTATGCGGCGCGCTGACCTCTACAGCTCCGTCGACCTGCCGGGCCATCAGCATCCGGTAACCACCCGGCACCTAGGACATCCAACGCCCGCTCTCTAGCGACCTACTGAGCCATCTATGTCCGATGTCCGCCCAACAACCGTACGTCCCACCGCTCCTCTGTAGACAGTATGCGCTACAGCCAAGGTCGTCCGCCAGAACACTGCACTCGAGGTCACCTCTCTGCACCTAGCCGCCCCAACTAGCACCTCAGCTCCAGATCCGCAACAGCGTCCGCAGAACGGCACACCACTTAGAGTATATTTAGCACAAAATAACAGAGTTGCTCGGTAAAATATAAAAGTCAGTAAGGGGTTGTGGAGATTAGAAAAGTCATACTCTAATACTTCATTTGCAAAATGTTCATTAATTGTCTCAGACTTCATTGTTCCTGTATTTCCATACCAATTACTTTGTGTTTCCGTTTTTCCCTTGTCGATCTTTTCAAACTTCTGCTGCCAGACATTCTATTCTTGAATCGCGATATATACTACTTATGTCGATATAAGTAGCATACACCACACATGACATAATCAATATTAGAATATTTTCAAATGTATAAGAAATTTAGCTAAACGAAAACAAAAATAATAAAAACCATAACAGTTACGGTTACAAACCTGGCATTTGAATTTTATCCTGCTTTTGATTTGGTTTATTAAAATACCAAGTAATGGTTGGAAGCGGATAACCGCGTGCTTCACAAATCAATGTAACATTTGTACCTTCAATAACAGTTTGATTTAATACAGTTAATTTGACCGAAGGTGCTTGGGGTAAGGAAAAAAATAAGAATTTATTGCAAAGTAAACAAATAATACGAATTTTGAGAAAAGGTCACAAAAAATTAACCAAGATAACAAACCTGCACAAGCAAGTGGCTATCAGGTCTCAGTAGCTGGGTGGATAACGTGATGGCATTTGAAGCGAACGGTACTGTGTTCGAGTTCCGGAGTGAACACCAACTCTAAGACGCAGGTACATCCAGCTGACGAGTTCCAAATAGGACGAAACGCGCGTCAAACTGGATTCCACTGCCAGCCACTAACCATCTTTGCTTATAAAACTTAATAATATTTTTAAGGTCTACCCATTTTCTACAATGTAATCAGAAGGTAATAACTAGAGCAAAATGTTTAAAATTAGCCTTTTTTCAGAGATACAATGAATTTGTTAAACTTTCATTTGCTTGTTCTAGATTAAATGAAGAAGAAGTATTTAGTGGCCCTATATCTAACTCCAGATCAAAAGTCTAAGTGTTCGAATCACATCGGATTCACCACTTTATTGGGACCCTTCATTTGGACGTCAATCAGATAGGACGATGTTGTCGATGGGCTTATCACATTAGTGACCTGTGATCTGACTCCAATTAAATCGTATGACTGATTGCTCTCGAAATATATATATAGTCAATTCTCGTATATAATCATCGACGTAATCCGCGTTAGAGAATAAAGGAATTAAAACAAGTTAAATACGGGAAAGGATTTAGAATACGTATATTTTGTACAATCATTGATTCAGGCAGACGATCAAAGCAACGAAGCGAACAGAAATGGTGATCGGTGGAGAAGGAGAATTGTCATGGTTGTACTCTTAAGACTAGAATTACCCAAGACCAAGTTCAGTTCAGCAGTCAATAACTGAATTCTATCAAGCCTGTAGTTTATATAATTTATTTAACATATATTTATTGTCATTACAAGTGACATCTACTTAGGATCAAACAGTTGGTCAATCCGTAAACTCCACAACACAGTCATCATCTATACTCATTCTCAACATTGTTTAATGTTTTTAATTTTCCAACTAATCTAATTCATTTGCCAAGTATACGTTTACTGTACTTGGTTCTAGACCCCAGATTCTATTCTATATCCTATCTCTCACAGTGTTATTCGCGTCCTAGGTGAAAAAAGCGGCTGTATTCATAAGTCCGGCGTATGTCTCCAGAACAATGCTATAGAAATGCATAACGGAAAATAATTCAAATGTTTGTGAATTCGCCAAATTAGGCAACAACTGTTCATTTTCAGTATGGGGATTTGTGAAAATTGTAGTATTTCATGAGTCGACCACTAAGCCGGCATCCGCCGATGTAACTGTCTAATTTCAATCGATTCATGATTTGCACAACCCTTCATCTAGAGGTTAAGCTTTCGCGTGCAAGATCGACGGTTCTGGGTCCGAGTTCTTCATGTGGGATGGTGGATGCGCACTACCAAGGAGTCCCATACTAGGACAAATCGGCCGTCCATTGCTTCCATGTTTTACGTAATACATTTTCAACAATCTGATCACACATATACTCTTTAAGACATTTTATATGAAAAATAAAAGGTCAACTAGACAAATTAAAAGGACAGCGGAAAGAAAGATTATTATAAAGTACACAAAAACAATGTGAAAACTATGCTGGATAATAAATCAAAATTTCAGGTTAGGTTAAGGGTAAGAACAAATTGTATTTGAACACACAAAGAGGGTTTCAGTTTCTGTATGCCAAGGGCTTCAAAAAGCCTTAGCATATGCCCTTGAAAGCTTTTGTACAAAACTACAGAGTCTGACTTGATATCAGCCTTATGACCAGTTTCAACCAAATGTTTCGTAATGGAGGAAGATATTTGTTTATCCTGTGATCTTATTTGACCATAAGAATTCATTTGTTTTTGCAGCTATTTAGGTATGTGTTCAGCCACCTTTACTTACAGCTCATGATTGCTTCTTCTTGTTTACCTGTTTCCGCACGTACATGTAAATTGATGGATGAAATCGGATGTGACCGGTCTCAATAGAGGAAATATTTATTTACCATGTGATTTTATTTGACCATTGGAATTCAAAGTCAATGCGAACCTAGTGAAATTGCTTAACATGAATGTTATTAGCAAAGATAAATTTAATTTATTAAAACCTATAGGTTCGTTTTATCCTAATTTATACAGACCACCAAAAATTTATAAGCCCAATACCTTCTAACGTCCAATCCTATCAATGTGTCGGTCATCTACACACAATCTTGTAAAATGGTTGACAAAAGTATTAAACCTTATCGGAAATCAATTTTGTAAGTATTCCTTGACTGACTCATTTGGATTAATTAAGTACTTAATGGATATGAATGTAAAAACAAAGACAATGAGCTTCAATGTGAACATTTTATTCACAAATGTGCTTGAGATGGTGGAGAAGATTTGTAGCTCAGGTGGATGAAGTTTGTGCTGATGATGTCGTTCACAAGAACGATGAAACCTCCACAAACAAACCATCCAGCTCAAAGAGCAAAACTCCATCAAAAAACAAATGTACCTCCGTTATATTTCTCTCTTACGGTTATAACCCAGCTATTCCTAATGCTTAGTATTCTTGGACACCAAATCACTCGACAAGTCCCCAAAACAGAACACGGTTGAACAGGAAAGAGATTATATTCCAAATAACAAGGTTAGATGGAAGCAAGAAGCACAATAGGGTAAACGTTAGTATATTTATAGTTTTTACATGAGAAGATTCTAAAGTGTTCTCCAAGTATCGACTAGTGCTGATTGGATAAGAATTAGCCAATCAGCGTGCACTAAAGCAATCGTACATTGAGCATGTTTTAATCCAGTCTATGTCCCACTAACACCTCCCCTTTGAGCAGATTCGTAGGATCTGGTGCTAGGGTCCAACTGCAACCGAGTGACTGGCCTGTGCTTTCGATTCGTCCATCGTCTAGGCAATAAAGAAGTATCACTCTTTTCTTGCACTGACATGTCTGCTCCAGGCGTTTAGATTTCAAAGGTGTCTAGCAGAACATCAAGAGGTAATCGATATTGAATCTCGTTGCTGGCTATCGAAGTTGCTTTCAATTGGTTAGCATGACGTACCCAAACTTCTGAGCCAACTGACACCTCGTAAACCACACTCCCCTTCTTTTTCAAGACCCGACCAGCTGTCCATGTGGGATGTTTCTCACGATAGTCCAGAGCAAGTACTTTTTGTCCCACCATAAACAATCGTCTTTGTGCCCAATGATGTCGATTGAACTGATTCTCCATCGATAGGTTTCGTTGGGGTCCAATAGCTGGCGTAGGACGGATGACATCGAAATGTGTTTGTATCTTTCTGCCAAGTAGAGCTTCTGCTGTAGAGACCCCGTTAATCGTCTGACGGTTCGGTGTAGAGCGATAAATAAACAGGAACCTCTCTAAGATCTCTTCAGTGATCCCTTCCCCTTTGGATTTTTTAGAGCATTTTTAAATGTACTCACAAAGCGTTCCACTTGGCCATTTGATTGGGGATGGAATGGAGGTGTTCGGAAGTGATGGATTCCGTTCTGCCGACAAAATCGTGAGATTACGGACGTAAACTGTGTTCCGTTGTCACTAACTATCGATTCCGGGATTCCGAAACGACTGAATAGTCGACGTAGTTTACTGACTGTGCAGCTTGATGTCGGGCGTTTCATGAGAAAAATTTCTGGCATCAATCACCAAAAGGTAAGTTTGTCCATAAAGTGAACCAGCAAAGTCCAAATGTATACGCTGCCACGATGACTGTGGTATTGGCCATGATTGCAGCTCTGCTTTTCGTGGTGCTTTGGTTGCTAATGCACATTTGGTACACGAACGGGTGAGCTGCTCCGTTTGGGTGTCTAAATGCGGCCAGTATACATAACTTCGTGCTAGTGCTTTCATGCAATTTATTCCAGGATGTCCTGCGTGCAACTGTTGATACTTTATGTGACTATATCTCATTGAATAACCTTACCTTGCCATTTCATGTTAAAACTCTTAAAGAATTATTATTATTATTATTATTATTATTATTATTATTATTGTGTACAGACAATGTAAAATTCACTTTTGAGGGTGAACACTTTCGAAAAATCGATGGCCTAGCTATGGGTAGTCCTTTAGGACCGTTGCTGGCTGATGTGTTTATGGGATATATCGAAAATCCAGCTGAAGATTCAATTCAAAAGATGTATCTATGTAAGCAGTACATCATAATCATAGGGGGTAAATGTGAAGATGTGAACCGCTTGTAAAAAGAACCCAACACAAGTCAAAAGCATATTTCTCTTACATGCGAAGAAAAGAAGAACAACCAACTTCCTTTTCTAGACACACTGATTAGTAGGAGAGATGATGGTAACATCAAACGTTCCGTATATAAAAAACCGACATGGACATCTTAATTTACATAGCCTCGGCCTGATTCATTACAAAGATGGATTAGTAAAGGGTCTATTAAATAGAATCAATCATATTTGTATTAGTGATACTAGTGAAGGAGACACGAAGCTTTTAACTGAAACATTAATGAATAGCGGTTATACATTGAAGTTCATGGACTGCTGAAAGTGTTGCAATTCAATGAGACCTAGGACGTTTTTGGCACCTAAAAAGCCAATCCATATTACTTTACCATTTAGAGGTAACTTAAATAGTCTCATGTTGAAACGGAGACTTAAATTGGCTAGCAACAAAACATTTTATTCAGCCCAACTCATCATTATTGAAAAGTCAAGGTCTATGTTTTACCAAAAGTCAAATTGCATGTAAGCGATTGTGTCACATCCGATTTCGTCCATCAATTTACATGTATGTGCGGAAACACGCACATATGGAGGGTCAATCGTGGGCTGCAAGTAAAGGTGGCTGAACACATACCTTAATTATCAGTATGGGCTTGTAACGATTATTAAGTTTTTGATTGAGATCATGAATCGTTTGATTTTAGAGCACCATTGAAAACCTGGAAGCACTGGACGGCCGTTTCGTCCTAGTATGTGACTACTCAGCAGTGTACATCCGCAGCCCAACATGAGGGACTCGAACCCAGGACCTTCGGTCTTGCACTCGAATGCCTAACCTTTAGACCATTGATCGGGCATCCAAAGATGTTAACGTTTGATTCGGTCGATCCATGATATTAGGCAACCCTTGATCCATTATCTGAAAGAAATAAGTTTTTCCACCCGACACGGATTGTACTCCACTGATCACAGCCATCCAGTGCTTCTAGGTTTTCAATGGTGGTCCATCTAGTTTTTGTAGATAGTGATGTTCACTATTCAGATTAAAACAATGCACAATTTATAGCCAATTAATAAATTATTACAGACAATAAAATGTTTGTTCCTAAACACATGAGCACAAATTTTGAAATACAAATTAATTAATCACTAATTTTTGATATTTCTAATCATTTCCATAAATTCTTTTTAATGAAGGTCAGAAAACACAATAACCATGGCAATAATATCAGCCGTCCGTTTTTGATTTTCCGCTGATACATGCACCAGACAGATGAGCCATGTGTTATTGATTTGAGTTGTGTTGATATCTGATAGAATAGTGCTGGCTCAGTATCTAGTATAGGGCGAGTGAGTCGTATATGCAGATATATCGTTCATCGTTCGTTTTAATCAATTTCATTTCCTATTTGTGTTATTTTACATATTGATTATTAAATTTCGATGGCTTGAAGAGTTGACACGTCTAATTTTCCTCCTCACTTATGTTGTATGAACACTTTCAAACCAAATGGTTTAGTTTATTTCATTTCTTCTGTTTAAAAACTGTCAAAATAACGTATAGCATAGTGAATAAGGAACATTTTTGAAATTAATCCTTTCAATTGATTTGAGTAATTTAGTTCAAGGAATAGACTTTGTACAAATAATTGCCTTGATCATTTCGATGCGATCAAAAGTGGTTGAGTTATTGAACGTGATAATCTGTACAGGATTATTAGCTTGATTGCAAGCTACGTTCTGCATGATGTATTGTTAAGTCATCCACTGACCATCGAATGCCCTGGCACGGCCGAGAGTGCAGAGAGTTAGCTCCCTCTCTCCAAATGCTCTCTCATAGCCATGCGTACACAGCCACTGCCACACAAGTCCTATTCACTGCCTTCTCGCGGCATAACTGTTTACGAAATTAAGAGGACGAAAAATAAAATAATATAAAACGGATAAGAAAACTCCATTAGTTATAACTACCAATTTAATAAGCTCACGAATACATACTTAAAAAGGAATAAGTCTTTACACAATTACAGCTGCAATAAAATTTTAGAAAATGTCAACAATGAAAAAAATGCATTACTCAACCAACCATTGTCAAGTAATTATCAATGCTATATTATTTAGTCCTTAATGTTGATTAATTCTTATGGATTGAATAAGTAACGTAATCAGTGAATTAGGTCCTAAGATTGGTTGAAACATTAGTAAATTCACTTAATCAACCCAAGCTTCTACCTGAAGTTTGTGCTGATGATGTCGTTCAGAAGAACGATGAAAGCTCCACGACCAAACCATCCAGTTCAGAGAACAAAACTCCATCAAAAGTTTTCCAAATGGCTTTGACTGCCAATTAACGAACACATACTATGCATTCCTTATTTATTTCCATATATTTTTACATCCTCCATTCTACTCATACTCCACTCCAGGCACTAAATTTCGTGGACATCACAGACACATAGCTTGCCATATTTAAATTTATAACCAAAGTATTGATATCTAATTCCATTATTATTAACTTGATACATCTATAACAGTGGATGAAGATATGACAGTCAACGACCAAATATACTTTGTTTTGTGACTTCCAACATTCGTTTACAATTGTATGATAGAACGTAAAGAAGTGACTCACATTGCATTCGATTATTGACAAACATTTAAACATCTTTATTGAAAGTAATCATTGTATGTTCAAAACATTCAATATATCTTGAATACTTTTAAATCTGTTATCAACAACAATGGAAAGTGTCACAATAATCCCATTCGTTTTATGTGAAATAAATAACAAAACAAAATCACTAGACCCATTTAACCAAACTGAGTATTTTCAGACGATGACCAAAGTCGTGGTTATTTAAACATAAGCAAACAATCTTTGTTGAAAGGCAGTTTCTTTGACAGTGCGGCCAAGAGTGGGGAGAGACAACTCTCCCTCTTCAAATGCTCTCAAGAGGCTACGTGAAAACAACTACCAACAGGGAAGTCCTACTCAATGCCTTCTAGTGGTGAGGGTTTTATTTACGAGATTGAGAGGATGAAAAGCGGATGTCCGGCAGTCCAACCGGGTTGGTGAATATGGAGGAACCACGTGGGGGTGTTGGAAAACTCCTATTCCAAACAAATGGTGCACATGAGTTCCAGGGTCCTGAGGAAACAAATGACGTATGAACCAATTATTGGTCACTGGCTATCATGAGAATGCATCTCCTGACGTTGCTCCACTGCCTTGTGGATTAGACCTTTGGTGCCTCCTTGTACCAGTGTATATGTGTTTAAATAAATAAATAATAAGAACACAGGAAACTTCAATTAATATAACGTTATGTCGAGATTTTATATTCTTGTTTCTGGATAGCAACTAGGCTTCATTATAATTAATCTATCAGCTAACGAAATAACTTGTAACTTGGCGAAAGATTGATAACTTATAGTTTTAATAAAATTCTGTCTAGTTAATCATGTCATACATGGAGCAAATACCAGTGGATGGTATTTAAGTTTATATAATACTATATTAGCCTCAAAAGCTGAAGCTTTTAGATTCCATGCCTTTTTAGAGTCGTGAGTCATATCTTACAGGACAAAGTTGTAGAGTAAGAAAAATCTGTTTACTGGGACTCCAACTCATGTTGTAGTAAAACTGAACAGATAGTAATTGAGATTATGATATCAAATCCAAAATTATTACCATAATATAAGCAAAATCTTTATGATAATTGAACCTCTTAGAATAAATAGTAGAAAGAGTGAGACTGTATACTTTTAAGTTAGTTCAATCAAAGAAGAAGCATCCTTTAGGTGTCTTTGTATTTTGGCATAGTCGTAGAAAATCTTACTTATTTTAAAATTAATTTGAATAAGCACCTATAAACCTTTAGAAAAAGTAACTTACCAGTTTGACAGGGTCCTTCACTAATTGGAATAACTGTACCATTCGATGAGATGATTGTTGCATTCATTTTACACTTTGAATACGTTACACCATCAGAACCGCATACTTTACCAGGTTTAACACAATAACATATACTTTGCGATCCAATTATCTTTGAGTCAATATCTGTACGTGTACGACATTCTAAATCTGTACCACACATTCCATGCCATGTAATTCCTGGTTTTAAAATACCATTTTTAAAATCTTCAGGTATATTACATAATTGAGCTTCTTCTAATGCACAAATATCACAACATCCACATTTATCACGTACTGTACCAACATTACATTGTATAATAGGTGGACATTTTTTACGATCACATTTCTCACATTCATCTTCTATATCTTTCATTACAGTTGGATATTGTAAATTTTTGAAAGGTTCATAATTATAATCATTATTTTCACTACATTGAGAGATGCGAATTAGGATTATATTGACAAAAAGTAAAAATAATTGAATTGACATGTTATATTTTGTTGCCATGGTAGTTATTATTATTATTATCACTGTAGAATAAAAATATGGTGCGCCCTGTTTCAGTGTTCTGGGCAGAATGGTTTAGTTTTAGTTATCTTAATGCAAAATAGATTTGTATCTATAAGGATATTGATTTTATTTACAAATAAAATGAATAGGGATAATAATATGAACCAATAAGGAGTGTAAGGATAATGTAGTTTAGTAAATCGAATTCCAAACACAAATTGCTACACAACTAGTACAATGTTGCACACTAAGTGAATAATATTCGTTAAAATCAAAGACATGTCTTAATGGTTTAACCAATCACAAATTAGTGTTGTATTACCTATGTAAGAATAGATTTCAACCCAAGACAGTTATTCCTGATTTATTTATTTATTTAAACACATAAACATTGGTACAAATAAGCAGCAAATAGATATGCGCCACATAAATCATTCGATTTGTGTGAAAGTAGAGATACTGCCCGGATTCCTAAACCAAAGAAGGTGGTTTTTTAAGAGGGCAACACTTCGACCTAAAAGTCTGATCTTCAAGGCAGCGGAGCAACGTCAGGAGATGCAGACCAATGGTAACCGGTAAATAACAATAGTTTCATATGTCATTTGTTTTCTCAGGATACTGGAGCCAACCCATGTACACGACTGGTTTAGAATGAGAGTTTTCCAACTCCTCTATATGGACCCTCCGTGTCCAACAACTCGAACAAAGCACTGGACATTCGCTTTTCGTCTTCTCAACTTCGTAAACAACAGTAATGTCTTGAGGAGGCAGTGAGTAGGACTTGTGTGGTAGTGGTTGTATGCAAGTGGCCATGTGTGAGCTGACTCTCCCCAATTTCGGTCGTACCAGGGCATTTGCGGTTTAACGCGACCACATTTAGATATCACCTCAGCAATGTCTAGTCGATTATTACTATTCGTGAAATGAACTATGGTGTAATCAGTCTTAGATTTCGTCATTACAATCAATCATTTTGAATACCAGTAAAAGAAGAATTCATTATAAATTTTGTTGGGTGTTCAGTTTTCATACCAAGTTGACTATACATCCTCATAGAAAATCTGGTGGGGAAACAAAGTTAATTCATGATTATTACATATCAATATCAATACGGAATAAGACCGATTTAGATATACTATCCAACTACTATTCACCAAGGTAAATAACTTAATAGCTCAATTTTAGCTGGATCGTGGAAAGACATCCACATGAAATTTCTCAAAACTGCATAAATATCCTTGTGTTAACCAAAATAATTTGGTGGTTTTAAAATTACCCTGTAAGCTTAGTTGTGAATCTTAAAAGTAATCTTTTCCACTAAGGTGATCATTTATTTTCACTTCAGTAAATTTTCCCTCAAATATCAGTAAACAATGATTGAAAGATGGTAAGATGTTAAATGAAACTAGATTGGCAGAAGTTGACATTATGTTAACTTGCAATATTGCTTTTGTGGTGTATGTTACTTATGGCTGTCAACATAAGTAGTATGTAACATCATTCAGAAGTAGAATGCCTGGCAGAAAAAGATTGAGAAGATTGAACTGAAGAGAACAGAAATGTAAACAGACAGTAATTGTAATATCAGAAGGGTTTTTGTGGATGTTATAGTAATTTTAGTTGTTGAGATCATGAGTCAATTGAAACTAGACCACCATTCAAAACCTGAAAGCGCTGGATGGCCGTTTCGTCCTCACGAGATTTGAACCCAGAACCTTCAGTCTCACGCGTGAACGCTTAACCTCTAGACCACTGAGCTAGCCAGCATTCAACGGTGTTAATGTGTAACCTCAACCAATGCACGAAATTTCACCATCTTCCATTATAGTGAGGTAGATATTAGTCTCTACCCTATCTGCCTTAACACTGCCAAGTAGCTCAAATCCAAAAATAAATACCATTAGATTTTTAAAATATGTTTTGTAAACTCAAAAGAGAATCCTTTATGAACCATTGTCTGCAATTAATATATTTTTAATTAATAAACTATTCTAACTCTTGAGTCTACTGAACTCATTTCCGCTAAGTCTATTATAAAAAGATTGTTTTTGGTACTCTTTTAAACAAATGAATCGTAACCATTGAGAAGTTTTGAACAGTAATTTACAACTATGTATCACACAAGTGATTCTAGTCATATTCCAATCGGTACTGTTATTATCAGTTTTCAATGAGCGTAACTAGCATTTTGTTGACTTGCTAACTGGCTAATATGTACGTAATTGCCTCAGAAAATTATATCTTTTACATAAATCATTTTAAATTGAGCCTTATAACAAGAGGTATGCATCTACTGTAAATGGTTGAAAAGGCTGTATTATATATAATTCCAAGATGACAGAGAAACATTCATAATTGATTTTAACATTATAACATCGAATCTATTAACTTGTTTTGAATCTTTGGATTTTAATGAATAGCCAGGCCAATCATACTTGTGGTCAGGTTTCAGAAACTACTCATGGTTTATTTAAGTAAACTTCAATAAACCTAATATGTTGTCTTAAGTCTAGATTTTTCTGAAAGACTTTTATTCTGTAGTTTTATTGTATAAGCTACTGAGATTTTGTTATTATGTCAGGTACCTGTGGAAGTGTTCTTGAATTGCCAAAATAGTTAAGTTGAACAAATAAAATCTAACAAATCGATTAAGATCAGATAGCATTCAGAAGTTCCCATCATAGCTTGGAAAGTTTTAGCCAAATAAGCCCACAACCATAATAGGTATCTGAATTAAGGTATTGAAATTTCGCGGTGACGGTTATAACATCCAGGTAGTGTTTAAGTTGAATAGTTTACGTCTAACTTTCATAGACTGTTCAAAATGACCTAGAAGAAGTTTTAGTCGTTTCTAACCTTTAACAGTAATGAAAAAAGGAAGAATTTAAGCAACAAAAAGAACATTCCAAAGTAAATACCACTTTTATGTAATGGATGGACATTTTTAGATTGGCTTTGCTTTTCCTCGCTTAAAGAAGCCCATTTATATAGATCAAATTTACTCTTTTCCACAAACTTCTGTAGTCTTAAGTAGTTTTTTAAATAAATCTCAATAATTATTTCAATATCTTCGTCAATACCGTAGAGACGTAGTGGTGACCAGATCAAATTTCTCTGCATTACTCTAACTATAATAGTTCAGATACTTCTGCCACATATCAGGGAAGCTGCTCTGTTTACTTGGTTCTTATTATCCAGTTGTGGGTGAAATGGCTCAGAATCGATCACCAGGGCGTAGGTGTACACACTCCATGTCTTCTCTTAAACTATGAGATTAAAATCGCTTCTTTCTACGAACTAATTCTTTCTTCCTGTATTATGTCCTTATACACAATCTTTCTTTTATATATTACCACCATTGAATTAACTATTTCTATGAATTTGATATTCATCTTGTTGTGCTAATGCGATATGGCAACTTGGACCGATACATATATGTGCCTGGTCCTACGTTGTAGCTGACTGACTGACAATTTACAACCACATCAACGAATTTCGTTTGTATCATATAAATGGGAATTAAAATCCCCCTATTTTTGAAATTTAGTTTGACAACCGAAATTAAGATAAAATATATTATTCATCGAGATGTCCTAGAATCCCCTAATCAGTTTCTATATATCTATACGAAATAATATTTCACGATAATGTGTCGTCATATTTTCCCTATTATAACTACTTCTCAAAAGGCGTAAACGCCTTATATCCAACTATTGTATTAGTGAACGGGAACGCAAGTGGATAAAACCAATTTACTGTTTAATGCAAAATCACACAATTAGTTAGTAAAATATAAAAATCATATATTAAGAACATGATTTGCACATGTTCGTTACTTTGTGCTTAACATACTCTATTATTCCTCTGATTATGTTGTTATTTCGATTGCTGTCAGATTTCCTACCTGTTTTCTTCATTGCAATCTTCTTCTGCCAGGTAACCTGTATTCGATCAATGCTACATACTACTTATATGTGTCAACATAAGCAGCATACACAACACTGGTACTAACCGATAGTACATAAGAAATAAAAACCATTTCATGCCCTTATAATCTCTGAAGTCCATACATCTGTTCTTAGATCAGCAATCAATACCAAAATATAATTTTAGACTAGGATTGGGGAAATTGTATCTCTATAATAAGTTATTATAATGGCATATGTTTATTTAATACATCTCAAATAGCAGTATACAACAATGTACAGTATAATGTGGATAATGATTAGACGTCAATGTACTTTTTACCAACAATGTTGTCTAGTATGATAGCCAATGTCTTATTAATCTAACTGGCTTAAAAAGATATGTCATTAGAATCACATTCCTGTTAGTAGTAGCAGTACAAACATTTACGTCGTTTCAAAGCTAAGCTTGAAAATAATTTTATTTTTCACTTAGATTAGTCATCATAGTCAGTAACTACTTTCTATTCACCTTAAAAATAACTAACTTTTTATCATTATAGGGTTGTGGAGATAACTAACTTTTTGATTAAGATCATGAACCGATTGATGTTCGACCATCATTAAAAACCGTTGGATGCCGGCTCAGTGATCTAGAGGTTAGGCGTTCTTGCGCGAGATTGAAGGTCCTGGGTTCGATTCCCGCGAGGATGCACACTGCTGAGGAGTTTCACAATAGGACGAAATGGCCGTCCAGTGCTTCCAGGTTCATGATCTCAATCAAAAGCTAATTCTTCGTAAGAATAAGTTAACTTTTTAAAACTATTTTTCAAAGTCGATGAATCGATATGCAATAAAGTATAAACTGTTGTTGTTGTTATATTTTAAGGAAAAGTTAACCTATTAAACTATTCAATAGTATTCTTTTTCATTCATTTGAATAACTGAACATGTTTACTACTGTTCATTTAGTCTAATGTTTAGTTAAAAGTACATAATTACAATAGCTACTTATTCTATCCCATATAAAATTGATTGTACTTGCAACAATATGATTATGTACTAACTAAGAATTCCCGAAATGGTGCAAGTTAAGGCAGGTAGAACTAGATAAGGGCACAAACCAATGTATTATATATGGAATTTGTAATCAAATGGAATCAAGTAATTAAAAGAATCATTAGTTCGTACAAATACCACAATTAAACACATTAATGTGAAAGAAAAAGGGCAACTATTTTATTTAGGAACAATAAATTATTCGTCTACAGAATGAATCTTTGGAAAATCCAATTTGAATGAAGATAATACTATCGTTTATTTGGCATTATGTTAACCACACACACACACAGAGTTTTTCTTTACATTTGTTCTAATAGAATAAGTTTAACAAATAAAAGATTAAATCCAATGCTACTTGCAAATATTTGTAAGTAGGACATAAATGTAAACTAACTCACTTTGTCTGTTTATGCTGTTTCAGTTTTCGACTATACATTTACCTGTTTTTTTTCTTACATAACAATACTTACGCACATGATGTAATAATATGATAGTTTATTTAGACAGATGAAGAATTTACAGTAAAACTATAAAAAGCCCTGGTACGGCCGAGCGTGGGGAAAGTCAGCTCTTCCTCTCCAAATGCTCTCACATGACCACGCGTATACAGCCATTGCCAGGGAAGTCCTACTCACTGCCTTCTCCTACCAGGTGTTTTTTACGAAATTGAGGGGACGACAAGCAAATTCCCGGCACTCTAAACGGATTGGTGGACACGGAGAGTGCATCTAGGGGAGTTGGAGAACCCTCATTCCAAACAAATGGTGCACATGAGTTCCAGTATCCTGAGGAAACAAATGGTGTATGAACCAAATGTCAATCACCGACTACCAAGGGTCGGCACCTACCGACGTTGCTCCACTACCTTGTGGATTGGACCCTCAGGTCAAACGCTCGGGGTGTGGCCCCACATGGGAACCACCTGCTTTGGTTTGGGTACCCGGGCAGTAGCACCCCAGCCCTCACACAAATCGAATAATTTATTTGGCGCCTCCTTGTACCAATGTTTCTGTTTAAATAAATAAATAAAGCTTAAACATATTCAAACAGGTATTTGTAAACAGAAAATCCTGAATAGCAGTTGTCGTTTCAACCCTGAAAGTTATACTTTCAATTCAAAGTAACTTATGGAGTATGAACCCATATAGTACATAAAATAATACAACAAATGATCACTTCTGAGTTTGAATATATTTGATTAGCTGGTAAATGATTTATTTACGATACGAAACATTAAGTGCTTTGAGAAGGAATACCGTTTTTAAACATTCAACTTCATTATTTCGAGAATACTGATGTTTCTTTTTTGATGCTCAATCTTTTGTATTAAACAATTGAGTATTTATTAACATCATAATCTTGAGTAGTTTTTCAAAAACAGTAGTACACCTGGAGAAAGTTAACTTAAGTACAGTTGATCTTTTTTAATAAAAATCAGTTTTATTCTTGAACACTGAAGTCAAGGAAGATACAACAGCCAAGATATTAAACAAATTATAAATGTCCTTGAGAAAAACGTTTTATTCAGCAGAGCTCTGAACTATTTTCTTCAGCAAAAAAAACCCAATCACAGAAATGTCAAGGATAAATTGGTGCTTCGGACCACCTCAGTGTACATTTATTATTATTCATGTCAAGCGGGCTATATTGAACGTTTTTATTTTATTTTATTTGAACACATAAATATTGGTACAAGAGGGCAACAAATATATATGCGCCATACAAAACAATGAGAATTCGGAGAGAAAAAAAGAACAATAACGAATAGATTAGTGTAAGGTAGTGTAATAATAATAATAATAATAATAATAATAATAATAATAATAATAATAATAATGGGGGAAACGAGAAGATACAACCAGAAGAAATCTTTCAGTTAAGGAAGATACAACCTTTTTTTAATGAAGAGAGTAAAAGAAGGTTACAGCAGGATCGCCACTGGCTTCTATTCTGAGCCATATCTAATAACGTCTCTAGCCACTGTGTTGCACCATCTCTCGGACCCCAACCAGGGAGTCGTGATGGACCGACAGAAGCCAGTCCTTTGCAGCTTTCTTTCATACCACAACACCATGTCATATACTGACCACCTCTTCGCTTCTTCCAACCAGTCCCAGAGTCGGCAAATCATGCACGACGTGGAATTCTCTGAGACGACATTCGGAGAACATGTCCAAGCCACCGAAGTCCGTGTTTCAAGATGGTGACACCAATTTAATTATCGTCTCTGCACCCGAACACGCGATGCCTAACTTCTGCATTACTGACATGGTGTTGCCACTGGATGTCAGCAATCCTTCGGAGACAGCGGTGATCGAACACAGAGTGGTCCAACGTCCTCAACTCGGAGAGGATGTTGAACATCCAAAGCGTGGACTTGGTAAGCTAATATCTGAGCATGACTTCATATGGCTATCTAAAGGGGAATAAGGATCAATTAACAGCTCAGTCCCTGAACACATAGTACACTCGGATCAAACCTCACTACGTGAATCGTAGTTCATAATGAAGAGAAGTAGAAAGAACCGACTCAAAAATGTTTGGATGAGGAATTAGTGCACATAGCAGGCTGTAGCAACTCATCATCCCAAACTCGAACTCTGTATACACAAGTCATTCCTAACCCCTTATTCTCCCAGTCTTAAAAAGCCTTTGAATTTTAAAAATCTTAAGTGCTGATTATTGTTATTATCTTATTCTTCACCATCTTCCCTTTATAAAGTAAATGGTTATCCTTAACTTTCATTCTACAGATCATTACATCTTATTACTTCGAAAACGACTACGTAAGCTCTTGGTGATTTTCGATTACTTTGCTGAATGATCCAACCCCGTTTTATCCTTCCATTTTTGAATGATCAAATTCAATGCATGACAATATTGTCAACTCAGTGGTAACGTCTCTGACTGTGAAGCTGGGTGACACGAGATCGAATCCGCCAGGGAGCACCAGTTCCCCCAAGATTACAGGTGCACCTTGCTGACGAGTGCCAAGTAGCACGAAACCCGAGTCCAGGGTTTCCTGTTGACTACCTCCAACCACCATCTAAATCTCAATACATAGTGCCCGCAGTGTCGAGTCACCTAGACTGGTGGCCACATTGCAACATGATCGATAGCATTCGATCTGCACTAATAAGGACTAGACAAGCATGACATTGATCACCACCCAGTGATCAATCAATTGTGATTGTCAACATCACTTCATCTTTATTTACTTCCACCTGGAAAGGTTTGACAACTCTTGATAATTACGTGGAATTCCTCTATTTTATTATAGACTTTTACATGCAAAAATTACTTATGAAGACGACTGTATAGCTTCAGATAATGATATCGTCGAAAAGAAAATTCTCTCCGCTCGAATATTTTCATTCTTTTAAAAAAGTGTTGTTGCAGGTTTACAGTTAATACTGATAAATTTAATTTTAGCTAAGGTCATTTCACATACCAAACAGTTGGTAGTGATGCGATTTCGTAAATCTATGAACTAGTCAAAACATTAAATCGTCTCAAGACTGATTTATTCATATCAATTGGGGTTAGCTTTTAATTCACCGAGTACAAAGAGGATGCAAAATATAGCTACAGGTATGCTATCTTTCATTTATATATTAATACCATTGAAGTAACTACTCCTATGAATTTAGTGTTCACCTTGTTGTGTTAATGAGGTGTGGCAACTTGGACCGATGCATATATGTGCCTGGTCCTACGTTGTAACTGACTGATATCCAGTGAAATTGACTGACAAGAGTCATTCGACCAAAATAAACGGTGTGTTCATCAAATTACCAGGTAAACATAAGTCTTCCAAAGATAGTAAGCTTTTGTCTCTGGAATAGCTAAAGCCTTGACATACATTTAGAAAAGCCAAAATTATGTATACAAAACAAACTAATTTGGCCTTTTCTTCTATCATGATTTTAGTTCTTGTTTTCATGTCCTTTTTAGTTATAGTTCATTTTAATTCAAAAACTTATCACTTTCAGTAACTTTTACTCACAATTCTTTATCTTTATTTAACCTTTTGATAAAAATTAGAATTATGTTATTAATCCAGCATCCAGAGAAGTGTTACGACTTACTTACTTACTTACTTACGCCTGTTACTCCCAATGGAGCATAGGCCGCTGACCAGCATTCTCCAACCCACTCTGTCCTGGGCCTTCTTTTCTAGTTCCATCCAATTCTTCTTCATTTTTCTCATGTCTATCTCCAGTTCTCGGCGTAATGTGTTCTTTGGTCTTCCTCTTTTCCTTTGACCTTCAGGATTCCATGTGAGGGCTTGTCTTGTGACGCAGTTCGGTGCTTTCCTCAATGTGTGTCCTATCCACTTCCAGCGCTTCTTCCTGATTTCTTCCTCCACTGGGATCTGGTTTGTTCTCTCCCACAGTGCGCTGTTGCTAATAGTGTCCGGCCAATGGATTTGAAGTATTTTGCGTAGACAACTGTTAATAAACACCTGTATTTTCTGGATGATGGCTTTTGTAGTTCTCCAAGTTTCTGCCCCATACAGTAGAACTGTCTTGACATTTGTATTGAAAATCCTGACCTTGGTGTTGGTTGACAGCTGCTTTGAGCTCCAGATGTTCCTCAGTTGTAAATATGCTGCTCTTCCTTTACCGATCCGCGCCTTCACATCTGCATCAGATCCACCCTGTTCATCAATCATGCTGCCCAAGTACGTAAAGGTTTTTACATCTTCCAAATCTTCTCCATCAATTGTGATTGGATTGGTGCATGCTGTGTTGTATCGGAGAATCCTGCTTTTCCCTTTGTGTATGTTGAGACCTACTGCTGCTGAGGCTGTTGCCACGCTGTTTGTCTTCTCCTGCATCTGTTGTTGCGTGTGGGATAAAAGGGCCAGATCGTCTGCGAAGTCTAGATCATCCAACTGCATCTTAGATGTCCATTGTATCCCGTGCTTCCCTTCAGACGTTGACGTCTTCATGATCCAGTCGATCACTAGGAGAAAGAGAAACGGTGAGAGTAAGCAACCTTGCCTAACACCGGTCTTCACTTTGAACGACTTTGTCAACTGTCCTCCATGCACGATTTTGCAGTGTAATCCATCATATGAGTTCTGTATGATATTGACTATCTTCTGGGGCACGCCGTAGTGTCGAAGAAGTTTCCATAGTGTTGTTCTGTCCACGCTGTCAATGCCTTTTCGTAGTCAATGAAGTTGATGTAGAGTGATGAATTCCATTCAATTGATTGTTCCACAATGATCCGTAGAGTTGCGATTTGGTCTGTACACGATCTATCCTTACGGAATCCTGCCTGTTGGTCTCGAAGTTGGGCGTC